GGGTTTAAGGGTCTAAGGGTTCAGGGTTTAGGGCTTTTATAGTGCTTTCGGATTTAGGACTGACCCTTTCTTCGACTTTGGCGCTTCGTTGCTCAAATGGGGGTTCAAGATAATATAGAGGCCTCCATAGTCACCTATCTTATTTTGGGGGTTTAGGGTTTAGGGTTTAGGGTTTAGGGTTTAGGGTTTAGGGTTTAGGGGTCCCTTATAATAAAGTATACTATGGAGGACCCCAAAACCCGATTCTAATTGTTAAGGCCCCTACATTAGCTAGGGAGGCGGAAGGAAGCTAGTATAACAGGGGTCTATCGTGAATAGTGTGGGGTTCTTGCTAGGGGGTTCAGCTTAAGCTACCATAATCGGGATCTACAGTAAATGATATGAATTCCGTGAACCCTAAACCCCTAAACCCTAAACTCCTAAACCCTAAAAAACTCCTAAACCCCTAAACTCATAAGCTCCTAAACTCCTAAGCCCTAAACTCTTAAACTCCTAAACCCTTAAACTCCTAAACTCCTGAATTTACATTAAGAGGAGAAGCAGCTGATCAAGGGGACTTCGGAGTTCTTCGGCCTGCGCCGTGAGCCGCAGAAAGCTTCGCGGTTTATCTTCGGAGTTTCCGAGGCAGCCTTAAGGGTTTAGGGTTTAGGAGCTTAGGAGCTTAGGAGTTGCGGAGTTTAGGGTTTAGGAGTTTAGGGTTTAGGAGTTTAGGGTGTAGGAGTTCAAGAGTTTAGGGGTTTAGAAGTTTAAGAGTTTGGGATTTAGGAGTTCAGGGTTTAGGAGTTTAGGGTTTAGGAGTTTAGGAGGTGAAGGGTTTCGCAGTTTAGGGTTTGAGTGTTTAGGGTTGAGTGTTTGGGAGTGTGCTCGACAGGTCGCGCGCTGACTAGCGCGCTGTAGTATAAAGACATGCCCTCCCCAAGACCACCCATACACAACTCACAGCGCGCCAAGACGGAGGAAGCCAAAATCCTGGCCAACACCATCAGAATCAAACAAGTATGTTGGATTTCGCAGATGTGGATGTGTGAAGTAGCAAATTAGATGTTCCCCAGAGCCGCGCGAAGTCGTGACGGAGTGGGGAAGCCCTGTCCAAGCAGCACTTTGGGTTTGCACTGCGGTACGTTCTGGGCTGAAGGGCCCTGTCATTGATATTTCGATCTGTGGAGTGGCTCCTGGTCCACTTGCAAACTATTGAGGCGGTGGGCTACAATAGACAAGGCTCCCTGGACTCGCATCAGAGTGAAGGGTTGGACGCCCCAATCCGTGCCCCTCGTTTTCCATATGGACTCGCCTCAAGGGCCTGCCTCAAGTCGTGAGGGACTGGGCGGCCCCAATCGTTGTCCAAGCAAAGTTTAAGGTTCGCGTTAGGGTACGTTCTGGGCCGAAGGGCCCTGGCTTGCCCAAGCAACATTTCGGCTTGCGCTGGGGTCCAGTTGGAGGCCGTCCCAAGTCGTGGAGGGCTGGGGGACCCCAAGCCTTGTCCAGTTGGTTGCCCATCCTTGTCCAGTTGGAGCGGCCTTGTCCAGTTTGTCCATTTGGAATTCGTGGAGGATTGGTGAGTGACCAATCCTTGTCCGTTTGGATCTCGTGGAGGATTGGTGAGTGGATCGAAAATGTGTTTAGGGTAATAAAATATACATTAGTGTCTGACTCGGCGATGATAGCTTGGCGACCTCTCAGGAGTGTGCTCGCAGGCTCTGCAGCTCTAGCAGAGCCTGCTTGGTCTCGCTGAGCGTTAGTGAGAGGGGTGGCGGGCGGGTTTAGGCGTTTAAGAGTTTAGGGTTTAGGGCTTGAGTGTCAGGGTTTAGGCGTGTAGGGTTTAGGAGTTTAGGTTTAGGAGTTTAGCATTTTAGGGGTTTAGGAGTTTAGGGTTTAGGGTTTGAGTGTTTAGGGTTTAGGAATTTAGGGTTTAGGGTTTAGGGTTTAGGGTTTAGGAGTAGGGTGGTTTAGGGGTGTAGGATTTACGAGTTTAGGGTTTAGGAGTTTAGGGGTTTAGGGTTTGGGAGTTTAGGGGTTTAGGGGGTTCGCTGCTCCCGTGAAAGAAGGGGTGTTTGATTTCTGGGCCTTAGAGGCAATTCCAAGCCTCTCTCCTGCCTTCTCTTCTTTGCGGATATCTGAACCGCTGCGCTGAGGAACCACTACTCCACCGCTTATGTGGCTGCACCAAAGGCCCGAAGCACTGTTTGTTCTGTAGCAGCCGTAGTAGTGAGTTTTCGAAGCAGGAGCCCGTATGCGTTCAGCTCGTCACGGCTCGTTCCATCGTCTGCAAGCCTGTGCCTATGAAACCCACGCCAGTGACATTCACTGGTTAAGGTTGCAGACTAGACCTTTTCAGATCGCACGCTCCCGGTCTTCCTTCAAGCTTTGACTTACAACTTTGTCCGAAGCTGTGCAGGGGAAGGCCCAGACCCTCTCCATGTGGGGGAATGTACAAGCCGGCGGGTACTTCGATGACCAGGAGGTGGAGCTCATCGACGATCCACGGTGCCTTGAACCGAGGGCTACCGAGTTCGGGAGTTCCCTGAATTCCTAGGGATGGGTGCTTGAAGCCATCTGACCGCATGCGTCTCACTCACTAATCCCATTGTGCCAGTGCTTTTTAATTTCGCTTTGCTCCATGAGGATCAGGGCTCCCCCAATCACGGCACTTCAGTGACATATTGCGACTCAATACAACGTCCCAACCGTTCTTGCTGTCAAGGTGGGGTCGCTCTGACATGGACTGGGGCGTGGTGCCCTGGGGCCTGAAACACATGTGCGAGTACATCCAGAAGGAGTACCAGCCTCAAGGACACAACCCTAAACTCAAAACCCTCCGCCCAAAACCCGAAACTCTAAACCCTCAGCCCCAAGCCCCAAACTCAAAACCCCAAGCCCTAAACCCCCTTTGTCCGGTCCAAGCCGCTGAACGCAAGTTCGACGAAGAACCTTTCCGAGACCCTTCGAAGATAGCGGCCTTGAGAATTAGAACAGTGTTTCTTGATTTCAGGGACATTGAGAATAGTATTATTGGTAATTAATTAGAACAGGGTTTTGGGTCCTTTATAGTATACATATAATAAGGAGTCCCCAAGATAATATTGGTAACTATTTAGGCTTCTATATATTAGACTTGGAAGGAAGGAGCTTCGAAGATTTCCCGGGGCAAGGGTTGGCTTCGGACGCCTTGTGTTGGCCTCTCACGCCGTTGAAGAATTCGGAGGTGGGGCAGTCGGGCAGTACCCATGGATTTTGGGTTGAGGGTTTAGTATAGCTTCTGCCTGATGCACCAACATTATGTATTACAGGCATTCCAAGCTGTAGAAATGTTCTCATTTCCTGAGTTATCGCGGCAAGCCTGGAGGAGGAATCCTCGTGACCGAGAACGGCTGTGCCGTCGCGGATGACGATGCTGGGTTGCTGTTAAGGAACTTAGTTTAAGTTACCATAATGGGGATATAGGTAGTAAATAATGAATAGGCTTTCGTTATTATAGTAACTCATTTTAAGTTACCTGGATGGGAAATATTCGGAACATGGGTAATAAATAATAGGGGTTCGTTATTATAGCAACTTAATTTAAGCTACCTTAGTGGGGATATATATATATATATACATATATATATATATATAGTGAATATTGGGGTTTCGTCAGTGTAGTTACTAGTTTAAGTTCCTCAACAGCAGCCCAGGATGTCCAAGTCGCGAAGTATGATGCCTTCCGTGTGGACTTCTACCAAGGCTCGGGGTACAAAAGGACTACCCAGAGTTCCCAATGAACCTTAATTGCGGGTTTAGGGTTTAGGGGTTACAATTGAGGAATATATCTTAAGTTATAAGGGGCTCACTATTATGAATGAAGGTATATTCCTTAATCTAAGGGGTATTGGGTATTGGGCTCTCTGGGTACTTGAGCACCGTAGCGTGGAAGACGCGCAGGGTCTGCGGCGAAGCTCAAACTCTGATCCCTAAGCCCAGGGCCCAAAACCCTAAACCCTGAATCCAAAACCCGGGGTCTTTGCTCCAGGGTACATCGCCCAGATGCACCGGGCGATCCAAGCCGGTGCTGATGTGCCTATCACTGATGTATGGTGGGGGTCGGAATTGGTGAAAATTGGGTGTTTGGGGGCAGATTTTGTTCTCTAAATACATTACAAGTAGGAAATTGTAAGGAATACCCTTGTAGTTTTTCGGGCCCCTATATTTAAAGGGTTCGCCAAAAAAATCGAATCATACAGGCTGTGAGTCGTATCCAAGCCCCAGAAGTCACCCCAGAAGCCCAGGTACGAGGCTACTTTGCCTGGTCCTTGATGGACAACTTCGAGTGGGCTCTCGGGTGCCCCCGGTCAAAGGTAAGCTTTGTGGTCTGGCGCTGAATCCTAAACCCTAAGCCCTAAACCCTAACTGAATCTCGCTTCAAGGTCCTAAAGGGCCTGCGAGTACAGGCCGCTTTGTATGGAGATGCAGATCGAAATCCGGTTTCCCCAACGCCTGAGACTATTGCACTGCAAACTTGAATTCCGAATGCCGTGCAACCTTTACGCCAGAAAAAGTCAGCGCCAATCACAACTCCGCCACCTTCCGACCGGAAAGGGGCTTTGTTTCCACCAAGAGCAAGCCTCACTGAGCATACGCCCCCGCATGCATAGTGACTAGGATCCGCGCTCATTGTCTTTCAACTACTTTACTTTCCTCAGCAACATGAGGTACTCCAAGCGGTTTGGGATGGTGCACATCGATTATGAGACGCAACAGAGGCGGGACATTTTCCCTATCCGAAGACGAAGTTGCTTTGCAATCCGAGGAGTTGGGTTTGATTGAGCCCTCAGGAATTGTGGAATTGAAACCTTCAGGACTGGGGTTTAGGGTTGAGGGTATGACATCCAGGATTTTTTTAAGAGATTCACGCGTGGTTCGCAAACCCGTAGAGCCGAAGTGCAGGAAGGGAGGGTTTCAGCTTCGCATTCCAGCCGTGACAGGACACCAAAGCAGTCTGCATTGTTCATCTCGGAGATTGCGAAGTCGAACAAGCTGATTCTGCCTGTATCCGCGCTGGAGGCGGCAGCTCCATTGCCTCATCGTTTCTTGACGGTTTCCTTGAGCTGCTCTGTGGTGGTGCTGCCATGTGAATTTCCTACTAAGGGCAAGAGATAGCCTGTGGCCTTGACGGCGAGGGGCTTCGCAGTGTCAGTGCCATGGTGTAAACACAATAAGAAGCTTCTGAGGCCTGAACAGGCAGTCGAGTGAGGTCTTTGGTTTGTGCTTCCTTTGTGCCATGACCCCCCGACTTAAAGCAGAATGCAAAGAGGAGTCCGACTTCGTGATGATCGAAGAGGGGGCTGGGCGCAAGACGACCAAGGACGCACCGCCGGGCCAGAAATGAGGGCCAGGCTCTCTCGACGGTCGTTGGACGTCGGTTTTAAACCATCGTTTGGCATAAAAAGTTTCAACATCAGGTAAGCACTGCACCCGGTAGAGCAAAGGTGTGGCGTTCGAGATACATGCCAAGGACTTAAGAGAATAATGCCAAGGCTTAAGCCAGATCCAGGAAGTCGTTGTTTGGAACAGGTCCAGCTGCGGCGGTCAGAGGTATGCGCCCGAGGTCAAGCAGTAAAGATCTGTTCTTTTGACGTGGGTGGCAAGATAACACGTTTTGTCCTCCAAGATTCAGAGCTCTGCTGAACAGCAGTGCCGCAGCTCTACAATTGATAGAAAGCTTCTCACCTGACAGAAGCAGCCATCAGCATGCTGTGCTGAACAGGTCCTATACTTCAATGACTAAGCAATCAGCTCGACATCGTGCGGATGACGAAAGGAAGCATGCGGCATTTTTCTTAGGAGAATCATTCCGGCGTCGCTTCTGACTTTGGTGTTGTGGCAACAGGCTTCGTTGGAACATTTTTGGCGCAATATTTCTGACAGCTGCATTCGAGGAAGCTTGTCAGCCACAGAATCATTTGCACCCCAGACAGCCGGGCTTCATGGTGCTATAGATGTCTGACTGTATACTAACGGTATCCTCATTCCAATCAGTCAAGCTTGTTCTGATTATACCGGCCCCTACATGAAACCCTGAAAAACCCCGTAAGACCCTTTGGAGGACACCACAGAGGCCCCTTATATGTTGCACGGCATGTGGTGCCCTAAACCCTAAACCCTAAACCCTTGTATGTTTTCTTGGCATGTGGTGCTTGGGCCCAAGCTCTTCTCAGCATTGACCCCGCGATCTGACCAGTATATGCCTGCCACATTTGCCTATTGCCCCTTGGTCGCAGTTCCCTTTTTTAGGGTTTTGGGGTATTACTTCCCTTTTAGGGTTTTGGGGTATTAGTTCCCTTTTAGGGTTTTGGGGTGTGTAGGTGAGGGTTTAGGGGGGGTGGGAGGTTTGGAGCCTGGGGTGGCTCAAGCTCTGCAGCGACACCACGTGTAGAAGCAGCAGTTCCTGCTGCAGCTGATGCAGGGGCTGTAAAGTGTAAAGTTCATCCTCCAGCATACAGGTTTGCTTGGCACATGCTGCTCTCCAACAAACGCAGGTTTCGGGTTTAGGATTTAGGGTTTTGGGGTTGAGGGCTCAGGGTGTAGGGTATAACTGTATCACCTTGTAATACTTTCCCCTGTCAGTCCCTCCATCTCAGGCCACAATATACCCCCCCGAAGCCCATTCTTGAACCCTAAACCCCCACCCCTAAACCCCTAAACCCTAAACCGCAACCCCTAACCCCTAAACCCTAAACCCCTAAACCCCTAAACCCCTAAACCCCTAACCTCTAAACCCCCAAAACCCCCAAACCCCTAAACCCTACACCCTAAACCCTAAACCGGTATGTAGGGATCTGAAGCCCCATAGTCTCAACTCGAGCGGCCAAACTCCATTCTACTAGGCCGAGGAGTTTCGGTTT